CATAAATTCTCGTTCCGAGGCTACTAGTTTTGGTTGACTCCATTCAAAGAATAACTACCTCCCAATAAAAATAAAATCTATAAGCATGATTTGATTAGGCCAACTTTACTATAGATATTAATAAGGAAAGTGGGTGGGAAAAGAAGCTCGGAGGAAATGAAATGGGACATGACTGAATTTGGAAATGACTAAACGTCCGCGATAATTAAGAAACGTTCGTTAGAAGAGCAGTTTGAAAGAATACGCAATACAGTAAAAACCCGCATATAAGAACCTAGAGTTTAAGAACCTGTTAGGCTAAAATTGCTTATTTAGACCCACTTTATATAAGAACTTGTTTAGGCTAAAATTTCAAACAGGTTCTTAGGGACCGATCATTAAATATGGCAGGGAGGGGGATGGAGGAGAAAGTAGGGGGTCCTGAATTATTTTTTCATTCAGATGGGGGGGGTCTTGAAAATTACATTATGTGAAAGAGGGGGAGGAAAATTCGGAATTTTCCCAACAAAAGGATTGTTTCTCGTTATATACTATGAACATGCAGCCAAAAGAGATGCATAAAATGCCCTTTAAACTGCATGGAACACTGGGTATTAAACATAACGAGTAAAGCGTCAAAAACATAATATAAAAGTGGATGTAGGCGAGACAAGCATAGGCCATAGAGTAACTTACCTAAATAGATTGTAAAACATTTATTTAACTATAGTTTCATCAAATTTTATACCTCTTTTAATACTCTTCATAGATCACTTGCTCAAGCTTTGTCCTAATCGGGCCAGCCATCAATACAAAACTATATTTTCAAGCGGTACAAGAGAGGGGTGGGTCTTTAAAAAGTATAAAATGCATAACGGGGGCCTTGAAAGGGCATGTAATTTTTGAGGGGGGCCCCAAAATTGTTTTCAAAATTTCTAGTTTCTCTCCATCACCCCCCCCCTTGCCATATTTAATGACCGGTCCCTTATTTTTTTTCCTTCTAATAGTCAAAACTAAAATTTATAAATCAAAGAAAACAAACTCTTCTCTTCATATGCGCATAATTTATATAAATTTTTTCTACACCAACAGCATGAAAATGAGTCACTTTTTCTTGAAAGGAAAATAAAAATCTATAGCCTAATTTCGCGATAAACACCATTTATATAAGAACCTGTTTAGGTTAACTTAAAAAATCTAGGTTCTTATACGCGGGGTTTTACTGTAGTAGGCCTACAATCAATGAAACAAAGCATCTTTTATAATACTACCTATCACTCTGATTGTGACTGTCTGTTTACGGATCCGAGCAGCTCTCACTTCACAGGTAAAATTTCCTTCATCTTGTTTCATAAAATTCTCAATGGCCAGTGTAGCATCTCGGTTTGCATTTGCAAAGTCCCCTTTGAACTCAATTCGGCCTGTGAACTGGTTTGAATCAACTGTAGTGGTTTCACCCTGAGGGTTGACGTCATAGATCGTGATCAAACTCCCAGAAGAGCCTCGTTTCTTATAATACCAAACTACACTCGCAAACTTGTTGTCATTGAATGTGAAAGGAATTTCAATTGTTGTGTATTCTCTTTTATATTTTATACCACCTGCTGTGGATGTAAATACACCAAGAGCTAAACAAAATAATTAAAAATATTCCGTTACAATTACAAGGAGAATACTTTTAAATCTATATATTAAACTCCTGTAATAACGATATATTTAATGTCCATTTCACAGGGTGTGCATGATGCACGATTCTTTCACGCCAGAGGCTCATGATATTCGTGCCATAGATAACTAAGTCTGGTTTTCGGTAGGGGTGAGGAAAGTGGGAGCACCCGGAAGAAACAATCACAGAATAGGAGAGAACCAACCCAATTTCTACAGTACTTACAGGAGTTTTCAATTACAGGACAGTCACCCAACATAAGTATAAATCCCCTAAGGTCCTACCCTCGGTTAGGCTGATTGCCCTACTGGTATAAATTAGTACGGAATTATAGTGATTCATGTCTCGCTATTTTACCTATTTATCAGTTAATAATAATTATATATTTCTGGAGACCGTTTTCAAAGAAGAATCGCAGTTGGAACATAAAATCTTTACCTTACGCCGATTTTCAAATAATTGGAGAGAATGTTTTTGAAAAGCCAGTTAAAAAACGCAAGAAAGATAATTTATTTTCTATATCAATAAAGATCAGATCTTTTCAGGTTTTTGCTGTCAAATTATGATACACTTTTTTCTATCATTAAGAATGGGAATGTTGTTCGAGTTTGGGAATGTTGTTTGAGTTAAGAAAAGCGCGCAAAATCACTCGTCTTCGGCTCGTGTTTCGCGCGCTTTTCTTAACTCTCTCAACATTCCCGCGTTTTTGGATCAGGCCATCCAAATACGGAAACCAGAAAGTAATTGTATATTCCCACCATTGGGAATTGTGTGCAAATTGGCGTACACTTGTACACACAGTTACATATTAACAACTCTAGGACTTAATTGCAATGGTCTATTGCTATTCTTGTGATTTCATGGAAACGAGAAGTAACTAGAGGGCACTTGACTACAGACTGCAATCACTGCATATCTCCCTATGATATCTCCCCAAGCGAAGTACAGTATCATGCATAAATTTTACAATGGGCTAATTATGCATTCAGTTTACTGTACCTGGCAAAGCAAAACACAAACATTTGCTAATTTGAGTTGCAATTTCTCATGCAATTTTCATCCAAATTTAATAGTAATGGGTAATGTTTCATTTGTCCACAAATTTTCGTATTAATACGTTTCATAGTTGTTGATTTATCGTACTGATAGTCAAACACAGAGACAGACATATACAAATGGAGATAAAAACATGTACATATAACTTCCTGTAGGGTGTAATTAGTAACTCATTTTCCAAGTGAAGATTCTCTGTATCGCAATATTGCCTATGACCGGATTTTGAGGGGAGGTGTGCACCTCCCCTGAGACCGTTTTGCATTTCCCCTGAGATTTTTTGCACTCCCCCTGTCCTTGGGAAATTTTAAATGTTAGATCGTGAATAAGTGAAAATTTGACAAATGTTTAAATGTGTAAAGCTTAGGGTCATCACTTTGAACACCTAAGAAAGTTTGTAAGAAAGGACACAATTTAATGAGTTGTACAGTCATAATTCATAACTACACTCAGGCTGATACATATGTACAGTACATGCATATATCAGGTGATAGTAGACTTTAGGGGGCACATTTATATAAGCACTAACATTCCATGGGGGTTGTGAGTTAGACAGCTGCACCTCCCCTAACTATTTCCTCCAAAATCCGGCCTGGATATTGCCTTCTGTTAAAACCACCTACACCACTGTAAAACAGCCAGATCTGGTGGATGGAAGGGGGTTTAATGAGCCTTGTTCATGGTTTAGGGTGCAACTGTTGACAAAGTGTTATGGCCAGCACTGTTCTCGGCTTGGTCCAGGGGCCTAGCTAGTGGTAAGGGGGATATTGCCTCTCCAAATAAAAAATAAAGGATTTGATAAGGACACTGGCACCCTTAATGAACCGATGTCAGCACACTTTTAGCACTCAGTTAATGAACAAGTTCTAACAAAGTTTAATAAAAAAATGTTTAATAATAAATTTTACACAAAATCCAGCTCACTGTTTGTCACATGGCCTCAGGTCTGAGATGACCTGAGAAATGACACCCTCCTTTGCCAAGGCTAGGACAGGCCTGCATCCCCAGCACCTCATCTGTACCCTCTACTATATTAACTGAATCATTTTTGTCAACGCTGAAATTACCTAAGGGCACATCCAAATGTCTTTCGTTATGTACAGCAACTGAAAATCATGGTACACATAATGAAATAAGTTTAGGATAAAATCCAGCCTGTCTGCATGCCATACATCCCATGCTATCTTGCCTCCTCCTCCACTTTTAAACAGGCTCTGCAGTCCCTGCTGATGAGGCCCACCAAGGGTGTAACCCAGGTCGCTTGTCACTCATTTTGTAGCTGCTTTGTCGCTTGTTTTATTGTAATATATGTCGCTGTCACTTTTGACCCATAACACAATTTGTCACTTTTTCCCAGTCAGGAGCTATCGTTTGTCGCTCTCAGTTTTTAGATAGTCTGTCACCTCTTTTTTAGATAGTCTGTCACCTCAAGGAATGTCACCTGTCGGTCATAACACCCTTGGTGGGCCTCGCTGATGGGTCTTAGATTTAATGTCTAATAGATTCTGAATGTAATACTTGTAATCAATACTTTAATTAAGCAACCTCATTCTCAGGCTCTTCTCCCTTGTAATCTCTATTAGTCTAGAGTCCTAGAGTCTGGAATTTAAGACACCCGGATTCCCATTTATGTAAAATGACCATAAAATAGTCTGTATTGTCTATAAGTTAGACAGATGGATAGATGATTGGATAAACTTTATTTAATATTCTTTATAACAAAACACGATCTAATACTAAATAGGGTGATACAACAACAAATTGTTAAAACTTGAGTGACATTGTCACTATAAATAAACTTAATGAACATTCGATGGTATACATTTGTTACATTGTAAAATCAGTAAAATATCGTGTTAAGTTTGGGCGTTGTGAAAACCCGGAATGCCGGAATATCACGGAATATGGCGGAATATCACGGAATATGGCGGAATATCACGGAATATGGCGGAATATGACGGAATATCACGACATTTTCCCGGAATATACCGGAACATCACAATATTTTCCGATGGTAGCCATGCGACTGTTTGTAAACATGGACGTCTGCATGACAACATATTTTATTACAAAAGTGATGGATCTTTCCCATTTTGACGGTAAGTAACAAACAATAACTCTATACTGGAAGTTTTATATGTTGTTTATATTATTATTACGAGCAGGGACGCCGGAACTGGGGGGCAGGGGGGGGGGGCGGCTGCCCCCCTTGCCTTTTGCTAGGGGGGGCAGGGGGGGCAGAAGTGCCCTTTTAGTTATTAAAAAATACGTGATAAGTCACATTTAGAATGATGGTTTTTGTACGAAAATAATGAGATTCAGACAATTTACAGTTTATATTTCACTTATGGTATGTCCGGAAAAAATTTTTGACCCCTAAAAATTTTCGGAAGATTTTGAAGTTTTGCTTTAGAGAAGTGCCCTTGCTGTGGGTCCGCCCCCCTTTGCCTTATGATCGTTCCGGCGTCCCTGATTACGAGTGTTGAAAAGTCGATGAATTACGAATGTTCGGAGTACATCTACCCTCATCAGAACATTCATAACTTATCCACTCGTTCACATGCATCAGAAGAAGAAAATTGCACCTAAAATCGCAGTAAAAATTGCAAGTGTGAACGAGCCTTTTATACACAAAATTTAGTTAAAAATTATTGGTTAAGGTTTAATAAGGGAAGTCTCACATATCGATTTCGTCCATGAGAAACGTCATATGTTCGTTTCTCTGGAGACCCCCCCCCCCTTAGAAACGTCACACATAGTTATCGATATTTTGTTCAACATAGTACACATAAGGTAATTTTCTACTATTTTCTACGGTCGGCTATTGGCGATGCTTCCGCGAGTAATATGTCATCTTCTGCTGACATATCTTTTTTTATTAATATATATGAACTTCAAAATTTCCAACGTTTCTCAAAACAACTTTTTTTTGCATGAAATATTGATCATTTTAGCGCGGTTTTCTTGAAATTTGAGTGTTTTTAATGCAAGAAGGCGTATAATAATATAAATGTATACGTGTAGAACAGGTATGGTATTACGAATGTAGGCCTATAGACTGGTGTTTGTATCAAGTTGTTTTCTTTTTTAAACTCTGCAAAGATGATTTCGAAATGTTAAGGCTTTCGAAAAAACTATCGAATTTTTCCATGATATTTACAGAGAAACGTCACAGCTGGAAACCCCCCACCCCCAAACGAACGATTCCAATTCATTACGAATATTTCTAACTCTTATTCTTTAAAATATTAAGAGGCAATTTTTTTTCAATGTCACGTATTTGTAATGAAAAGTGTTCAAAACCTAAAATCTTTTTGGCGTTCCTCTCAAAATTACTTTGTTTTAGATTTATTCTCCACAGTTTATAGAGTTAGCTACCTTTTTAAATGCGTCTGCCGGTTGAGAAACATAAAATAATAGTTAAAAATTGCCAATTAAACTACAATTATCAATGATGTCTTAAATTTGACGCTATATTTACAACCATTTAAGCAAAACGTACTGAACTTCAGACATCATTTTCTCTTTGGCGTATCATCTAAAATCTCTTCATTTTAGCATTATTTTACAGATAAAGCACTAAACATACTTTTTAAGTTTTTTTTACCGATTGAGATACGTATCGAAAAATAAAAATTTTGATTTTAGTCATAATCTCGTGTGGTATATTATACGCAATAGTTTTGAGCGCGTGTTACGTAACATACAAAAAATCTCATTTAAAGATTTGGGAACAATGCTATGCCAAGGCAGCATTCACTACCCTGTGGGTAAACTAGTTCTAAATAGGGTGATACAACAACAAATTGTTAAAACTTGAGTGACATTGTCACTATAAATAAACTTAATGAACATTCGATGGTATACATTTGTTACATTGTAACATCACTAAAATATCGTGTTAAGTTTTGAAACGGAAGTAGGAATATTTGTCAGCCGAACTGGTGTCGCACGGAAAGCATATTTAGTCAGTTGAGTACAGAAAAACAAATACAGACAACACTATTACTCGATTACATTTAAGAATATTTTGTCGAATAATATTTTGTTTATTGACATTATTACTACCTTGCTGTGTTTATATAATAGACTGTGTTTTCTTTGAGCCACTCAATGTGTTGTGGTCCTCCCGTTCTCTGCATTATAACGAAGATTAAATGGCAAATTATTTTACAGGCTAAGGCTAAAGACCTTCCTGCTTGCCGCACTTTTTAGATGTATTATTTATACAAGACCTGCTACATATTAAATATCTAACAACGTTCAAAATATTCACCTAATAACAATATAGATGTAACGCGAAAAGTCTCTCCTCAGATCGCTCTGAAAAGATCGCTCTTTCGTTTCGAGAAAAGTTATATTAAACTGTTATCTTTTACTACCGAACTGAATAATCTCTTACTGCCGAAAATATCTTTTACTGCCGAAAACATATTTTACTGCCAAAAATATCGTTTTCTACTGAAAATATATTTCATTGATATTGAATGAACAGTATTTTACAATGACATATATTACAAGAATCATTTAATCCTTCATAAAATAAGTGATTTTATTAGTAACTACTTAGTAACCGGGCATTCAACGAATGTTCCCGGGCATTCTTTAGTATGACTCCTCAAAACATATTTTACGGCGATCGGACTAACCACACATAAGCTATATAACTTTATATGTTTATCACTACTGTATTCGCCAAAGACCGAGGTGATATTAATCGATGTATGGCAATGGCCAAATTCCACGCATAAATTCGTTTCTCATCCTCATAGTGACAATTAAATCAAAGAACAAGCTCTTCTTTATGATATTTCAAAGTATCATGAGTTTTGCTTGGATACATGAAAAGCTAGAGCACTTTTAGTGGCTCTATTTCGTATTCCGCCATACTAACACCTATAAAATTTCCTCTGGTTTGGTTGCTTTCAACATGGCGGCCACACCGGAAGTCGGTTGACATTCTGGCACACTTTTTACCCTTGAGTGAAGCTTCTGCCCTATATCTATTCTGTGCCTAGAGTAAAACTACGGAATATCCAACGACAGCAAAGCGGCCATTGCGAAATCGTCAAAGAAATGTCGAAGAGCAAATTCGTGCAAATCGACAAGAGTTGCAGGTGATGCAAGTCCGTTTGGAATCAATGAACATAATCGTACCGGAATTACCTGAGATTGGAAGGTATAAAGTCGTCTGTGGTAATTTTCATCACCGAGAACACAGAAATCAACAAACTAAACCATGTATCATGGAAAGATGCTCGTCATTTACGTACTGCGGCATTAAGGATAAACATCCGGAATATACTTCTGAAATGAATCGAATGAAGTGCGCCATAAAAAAAAGAGCGACGCTATTAAACAACTTGAAGAAGAATTGGAAGGCATTAATAATTTTTAAAGCAAGAGTGAGCACCAGTTTATAAAAGCTTTTACTCCAAGAATGATGAAAGTTAATCCTGAATATAAAACGAACCGACCAAAACTTCTTCGCGATATTAGAATATTGCGTAAGTTTTTTGGTGGTAAAATTCCCGAAGGAACTACAAATGATCCCGAACAGCTTAGAATTACAATTGCCAAGTGTAAACGTACGTTACGAGATGAAGTTGGCGATGTAGGAGTACTCGGCATCGTAGCACACGAACGAAGACAACAAAGTCAATCAAGCGGACACGCAGCGAAATTCAATGTGAACATGAACTTGTCTCCTGTCAAAAACAACGGTAAAGTCTTGACACAAAAACAAAATACAAACACAGATTTCATCGAAACAAAAATCATGAATAATGAACAAAATACGAGGCAAAAGCATTCCCGAGCTATAAAGGGAAGAAAAAGCGTAAACGTAAAGGCAAGTCAGTTTACCACGACAGATCTTCAAGTAACTCCGAGCTGAGTTCATCCTCAAGTGTCAGTAGTAGATCGTCCAGCAGTGATTGCCTCCACAGTCGGAAAAAAACCTAAGAAAGCCTCTACAAGAAGAAAACTACCGTACAATGAGCAGTCGCACAGTATAACGGGTTTTACCCATTTTCCAGTTCAAAAAGTGTACTCCCAACAGCCTTTCTATGAGAATCATCAAATGGGCACATTTCCTATGGCTACGCATATGTTGCCTGGATACAACTACTTCGGAGCACAATCGTCGTCAATACCGCACAGTACATTAGAACACAGCGGTTTCAAACAACAAACATTGGAATTAAACACTGCTACTGGTGATAAAGAATCGGGTCAAACGACTGTCAACGAAGAAACTGAAAGGCCTTATGAAAGCTCTCCAGGTTTAGATCTGCTTTCTTCTGCAGCATATTTTATGCAAGACAAGCATTAAATAATTATAGCTGACGTTGCAGTTGTATACATACTTCTACTGTGGTTATACATGTAATACTACAAGTTGAGTTCGTATATTGGTTAAGTTTTGCATTTGTGTTTTGTATCATCAGATTTACATAAGAACTATATTGGCGCGCATCGGATTGCAGAATTTATTTAAAAAAATTATGTATTTTATTGTTGTAATTGATATATTGGCGGTATTCATTGCTGGTACAGTGTACCTCGTTTTTGTTGGATGGTATCGTAATAAATAGGTTGTTGTGCATTTATGTAGTTTGGTTTGTTCGTCGATTGCATGGTATATGAAAAATTAAGGTCAAAAAAACGCTGTCAATTTACATGCGAACGTGCAGAAATTGCGAAGTTCAAAGCGAAACAGCCTGAGTCCACGCTAGGAAAAGTTGTTCTCGACAAATTCTCTTTTTTCTCTGGTGGAGAGGGTTGAACATGGACGATTTGAGGGGGTAAACAAAGTTTTGTCATATGGAATTTTGTTATCAATAAAATTATCCATGCGCACCCATGCATACGATACAAACAACAGAATTTTTGCGCTAAAAGAATGTTTTTTGCTACGAAAGGTCAGGTTCAGAAGTTTGACTTGAACCAAGGCCAAACTATAAATTTTAGGTTAACAAAGATTTGTTACATGGGAATTTTGTATGGAATTACTTGTAGTCGTAATGATAATACAGTATTTGGCTGTTCGGCAAATGCATTTTTCTTACCTTTCTGCTCCCATGCATATAATATAAATTACAATAAATTTGCTGACACATGCAGAGTACCTCTAAAAAACAACCTGAGCATGCCTTACTTTATAATTTTTACATAATATTTACAATATATCTTTAATACTGATTAGTTATATATATATACTGCCACGAAAAATTGTTATATGTAGCCACAAAACTTGAAGAACTGTCTTGACATGCAGACCCTCGTTTATCATTCCTATTGCATCAGAAATGCACAACTCCGTATATTTCTCATAGTCAATTATACCAGGTAATCATGCAAGCTAGCAAGCACATACTAGCAGTAAAACGTACTTATGTTACGAATTTATAACAATCAGTGTTTTCCCTTACCTTTGACAATGCACGCCTTGTTTTCCGTACTTCCAACGCAGTTTGTGGCAACAACTCGAAATACATAATCTTTATTTTTACTGAGAGTTTCATTCGTTGATGGACTGTAAGTCGTATCAATTGATGTTATTATATCACCCCAGGCACCGCTTGATCCCTCTTCTCTCACTTGTAAAGTATATTTTACACTTTTGTCAGATGATTTTTGCCAGGTGAGTTTAGTAAGAGTACATTCTTCTGAGAATGATGGCTCTTTAGGTTTAGCTAGTAGATTAATAGAGAGTATCATGGAGTTAATTACATTATAGTGTACATGAATGAAGCGCAGTACAAGACATCATGGTACATACTGCAGAATGCAGTACAGACCAATACTAACAGTGCATTTAGTACAATACAATACCAATAACATGCTTTCGTTGCTGATGCAACTACCTGAAAAATATAAGGAGAATTTCCACGTTTCGAGCGAATGCCCTTTGATCGTCTGAAGTTACTAACTCCAGTCAGTAACTCAAGTCAGTAACTCCAGTCAGTAACTCCAGGCAGTAACTCCAGTCAGTAACTCCAGTCAGTAACTCCAGGCAGTAACTCCAGTCAGTAACTCCAGACGAAGAACCTTCGCTCGAAACGTCGAAATTCTCCTTATATTTTTTCAGGTAGTTGCACCCCTATATACCGACGAAGTTTGTTATTTATATTGGCACAACCTACACTGGCGCAGACAGTTCAAGATTACAATACAATATCACACTTTAAAAACACTCTGGTTAGAATTTTCCGGGTTAACCTAGAAATAACCCTTTTTGGGTTAACGTAATATTCTTGGTTATTTAATATTTTTCCTACTACTATAATTATATTGACCAGGACCTCCTGGTTAATTTAACCAAACTACAGTATGTTAGAAGGATAAATAGCCAGAGCCTCTTGGTTATTTATTGTACTAAAAATACATAGCCTGCTCGCAGTCCCCCCCCCCCGAAAATTCGGTTTTCCTTTGAACGAAATTTCGGCTTGCGAGCAGGCCAAACAATACATAGTCTGGCTATTTTAACAAGGACGATCTGGTCAAATATAACCAGATTCGTGGTTAAATTACTGAGATTATGGTAGGAAATGGGTAAAATGAATATCAAGTTATCCCCAAATAGTGTTAACAGGGAAGGTTAACCAGGACATTTTAACCAGAGTGTTTCCAGACTGCATACATTATAGGCCAAGCGATACTATACTGTCAGTAGTACCAGTTTATACAGAAGAATACGATGCAGTCTAAAATTCGTTAATAATTCATAAGCCAAAATCGAAAAAAAAAATGACAACCGTATCTATAGGAGTTTGGATATCAGGGCCCAGTTGTTCAATGTTGGATCAGCCTAACCCTAGGTTAACCTAAATGTAATATCTAAGTACTAGGTATATATTTGTGCTATAGAATATATTTAGCATAACATAACGATACAGTTCTAATTGATGTCTTAGTGTGTGTTCCTTCTACACAACGTGTCTTATCTACATCTATTTAATTAGTTCCGACCGTATAGTCATGGTGCCGAGTGAATGACATGACGTCATTACTATATCACTCCCCTTTTTTTTTAACTAATAACCGACGAGGGAATTTCCTCGACATATCGTTCTGGTTGCCTGACGTTCCTTGTCGATCGTCTTGGCTCAGGGTTACTAGTGTCAACTCTGTTTCGTTCGGTCCTTTCCGCGTCATACGTTTCACTGTCATCGTCGTCGTCGACTTGAACATCAATCTTTGGCTTCGGTATTGGCTTGCAGTGTGATACATTGCGAGTTATAGTGTGTCCTGTCTGACTACGTTATGTCACCGTGTTGTTGTTTCGCGAGATGACAATGTGCTCCGTCTCTCTTGCTTCCACAAAACGTAGTCGCCAACTTTTATTGGGCTTTCTCTAACGTTTCTCTTTTCATCAGCGTAACGTTTGTTATATTGTTGTCTTTCACTTTCTGTTTTGGAACTTTATGACGTTTGTTTGTTTTTATTTCCGGTTTATTGACATTGAGTAGTTTTGGGTTACCTATGCACTAGGCGCGCAAAGGACACTTGGGAGAAGTCGACGACAAGCATAAAACGTTAAAAGTTTCGTTTTATCTTGGACTTTTTAGTCTTTTTTTCGAATATTGAAATCTGTTAAATAAATTGTTTATAAATCCAGCGTGTCTGTTCTGTTTTGAGAACAATTTGGTCCTTCGAGAGCCGGATTTTATGGCAATAAAGACAAGATTTCGTGACTGACAGTTCGACATTTTGAGTTGAACACGACAAATATGAGTGATAAACAGCAAGATATTCAACCAGAAATTTTAGCTATGGATAAACCAGACCTCCCTGTTGAACAGGAGCCTCGTAAAGATGAAACTACGACCGAAGGTCTCGAAGAAACTGAAAGTACGGCGAGTAAAAAGGTTAGAATGTTGCGTAGTCGCAAAAAATCAGCAAAAACTAGACTCACTAAAGCTAGAAATCAACTCGCAGACCTTGTAGACAAGAAAGATCTTGGACTAGGCAGCTTAGCAGCTAAAACTGAAATAAGAAAAGCAGTTTTCAAAGTTGAAAGCGAGTTCAATATTATTATCAAGCTAATTTATAAACTTAAAGAAATTATTGCACTTGAAGACGGCGATGAACATACGGATATTGACGAGATTATTGAAGCCCTTGACAAAGAAGTAGAAGAACTAACAGATATTGTTGACACTGCTGTAAAACGTGCTAAAGAGCATATACAACAACGACTAGCGATGGGTGAAGAAAAATCGGATACAGCCTCATTTTTATCAAAGGACAATTTTAATGATGATCAAAGTTCAGTACTATCTATTCAATCCTCATTGGCATTGAAGAGACGTAAAGAAGCTGAAGAGTCAAAGGAGAGACTTTTAGCTTTAGAAAAAGAACAGGAACAAGAAGAGGAAGAACTGCAAAGGCGAGTCGCTGCACTGCAACTAACCAAGCAAAGAACCGAAGAAGCACGACAAGTGGTGGTCATCAATGAAACAAGAGCAACTGCAGCTGAAAACGATGCAACGATTGAGGCGAAAGCGGTGTCTGAAAAACCTAGAGACGCACAAAAAGCAGTTTGTGTTTGAAATGCCTGACCTTCCTGCCAAACAATGCCCAGCTGAAACCGAACATCTTCAACGACGACTTGCACCCATAAAATTTAAAGGGGTAGAACTGCCTAAATTTTCAGGAGAAGTCAAAGCGGACTATGCACCATGGAAAGCCGCATTCATGTCAGTTGTGGACGAGGCTGCTATATCTACGAAAGAGAAAATGCTCCGCCTCCAGAATAGTTTGACGGGAAAAGCATTAAGGATGGTTAAGGACTTGGGTTTCACTGTCAATGCATACGAGAGGGCGAAAGAGAAACTAGAGAAAAAGTACGGCGGGGAAATAACACTTCAGATATCAAATCTGACGACACTTCTTGGGTGGTCAAAATTGAGACCAAACAACTTAGAGGATATGGAAGAATTCTTGGCAGTATTGGACAGAGTATTAGTGTCATTACGAGATAGTGGACATGGAGCAGAGACGAATGGACAGAATCTTAATTTGACAGCGAAAGAGAAATTGTCAGCAAAGGATGTTGAAGCATATAAATACTGGTTGTTTGAACAAAGTGAACGAGATACCTTCGAGAATCTTGTGAGTTGGCTGGAGATGAAGGTGCAAATAATGGACGAGACCAAAGACGAGAGGCGAGACGACAAGAGTGATGACAAGGTTGAGAAGAAAAGACGAGATCGTGGATTTGGTACTAACAACAAGCGAAGACCAAGAGGATGTGTGGTAACGACCAGTAAGGAAGACCATCCGCCATGGGTCTGCCCATTATTTAAGAAAATGACTGTTCCCGAACGAAAAGAGCTTATCTCGAAAAGTGGACGGTGTTTCCGATGCCTGGCAATGGGGCATCAAAGTAGAGATTGCAACAACGGAAGAAAATGTGGAATTGATGGCTGTACAAGCGACCGTCATAGTAGATATCTTCACGAGAATAACCAGCTACGACCTGATGACTCGTCAACCCACCAAACTCGGAGCAAGAACCCTGAGGATTCCTCGTCCCCCATTACCAAACCTCAAGATGACGCCCGAGAGACAACCCACGCAACCAACAAAGTCGACAATGTATCGTTGATGGTCTTACCAGCTCTCATCACGAATGGAAGAAAGAAATTGAAAGTAAACGTGATGTTGGATCCTTGCTCTAGATCTACTGGAACTTATGTGACAGAGAGTGCTTCGCATGAACTTGATTTACGTGGCCAAGTTCAAAGTTTGACAATTTCCGGGACGGGCGGATCTCAAGTCAAGAAACAATCTCGCCGAGTTGAACTGTCCGTGACCAGTCTTAGTGAAGAATTTTCAACTAAGTTGCCTGCAAACGTGCTTAAAAATATCACAGGAGAGACTCCTGCATTTCAGTGGTCAGAGCTGAAGGGAAAGTGGCCACACCTTGAGTCAATACCTTTTGATAGTGTATCGAGACGGAGTCAGATTGATGTCCTCATCGGGAGTGATCATCCTATCGTCCATCGCGTGCTGCGAGAAGTGCACGGTCCTAACGATGATGATCCTATCGCACGACTGACCAACTTGGGTTGGGTCTGTTTCGGCCCAGCACTGTCTTCCAGATTCCGTAGTGACACTCGAACTCATACTAACAGAACATACCAGGCAGCAGACGCCTCCTCAACCGAGCAAGCGACCAATGACGCACGACGAAGATTCTGGGATCTTGAATCATTGGGCATCAAGGATGACTCGGGTCAACCAACATTGACACCTGACGAGCAAGCCGCAGTTGATCAGCTTCAAAATACACAAAAGTTGAAGGACGGGAATTATGAAATTGGAATTCCTTGGCGAAAATTTGAACCGAGGTTCAGTGAAAATTACGACATGGCGTTATCCAGGCTTGAGAGCCTGGAAAAGTCTCTATCGAAGAAAGGCCCTGGGGTGAAGACAGCTTACCAGCGAATCATCGACGACTATATAGCAAAAGATTACGTAAGAATAGTGCCTAAGACAGATGAAAATCAGTGGTTTCTGCCACACTTCCCTGTTGTAAGAGAAGATAAATCTACTACCAAGGTCCGTGTTGTGTTCGACGCCGCCGCTAAACACAAGGGAAATGCAATGTTGACATTATTGACACTAGCACACACGTGACTAGAAAGTTAGTTAAGTATTTTAGAAGCACGAGGCTAGGGAACCGGGAAGTAATTGGATACGTACTATGCTGTTTGCACAAGTTGTTTGACATTGGCGACGAGGTAAACAAACAAACAAAAAAAACAGCTATCGTTTATCAATACAAACGATTTTGAAATCTCTAGTTTACGAATACAGTCATGGCGACTGGCCGAATCAATGTAGCTCCAATGGCGCCATTTGATCCTATGTCCGATCCAAACTCTCTCAGTCAGCGCTGGAAAACGTGGAAACGACGATTTGAAACATATCTTGTTGCTCTGAATGTGACTGAAAAGAAACAAAAGCGGGCTCTCTTGTTGTACCAAGCTGGCCAAGAGACTCAGGATATTTTTGATACCCTTGTTGACATCGGCGAAGACGACGACTATGATTCCGCTATCGCTGCCCTCGATACGTATTTTCACCTAAAAAACATGTCGATTTTGAAATTTTTAAGTTTCGTGAAGCCAAACAACAACCACATGAAACAATCGATCAGTTTTCAACTCGTCTTAGGAAGCTGGCGGCAACCTGTGACTTCGAAAATATCGACAAAGAAGTAAAATCGGCCATAATTCAAAACTGTTTATCGAAACGTCTACGACGCTACGCCCTGCTTGACTCGGAAGTTACGCTAGCCAAGATTCTCGCAAAAGGCAGAGCTTTTGAACTCAGTGAATCGCAGGCAACCGGCATTGAAAACGCATTTGAATCAAAACAAATTTCTGACGAAGTAGTTGAAGCTGTCCATCCTACAACGAAACATAACAACCATCGTGATAAACAACATACATCGTTTCACAGCCAAGACTTTTACACCTCATCAGAGTGTCGGAATTGTGGGGGGCCCTGGCCCCATAACAACAATATTTGTCCCGCGAAAGGAAAATCTTGTCTGAACTGTGGAAAATCAAACCATTTTGCGAAAGTCTGTCGAAGTGCTCGCAAGGCTCGCGTCGGTCAACAAGAGAATCGAAGGCCTTCAAAAAAATACCACAAAAACAAAGTTCACAAGATTTATGGCAAACCCTCCAGCAGTGAAAGCAGTAGCGAGGATGAATTTATTTTTACTCTGAAACCGACAGGTAGAGACAAAACAACTCCACAGGTTCAAATCTCAGTCAACACCACCCCTATCAACATGGTTATCGACACTGGTGCTTCCATCGACATCATCGATGAACTTGCTTTCAACACCTTGCAAAAACAGAGACCCATAGCCCTTCAACGTTCCAAAACACGTATTTTTGCATATGGAGCTACAAACCAGCTACCTGTTATGGGACAATTTCGTGCAACTCTAGAATGTTTGACTGGTGCAACAACCACGCAAGTTCATGTTATCAAAGGAAATTTTGGTTGTTTGCTAAGCTATCAAACGGCATCTGCTTTGGGTCTAATCATGCTGAATGTTAACAATGTGAAACCGGAACATGAACAACTGATGAAAGAGTATGCCCATCTGTTCAACGGAATTGGCACTCTTAAAAATTTTGAAGTTAAATTGCACATTGATGATACTGTCCCTCCAGTAGCACAAACCCCCCGTCGTATTCCTTTCCACATGCGGCAAAAGGTCTCAGATGCGCTCGACACGTTAGAAAATGATGGAATTATTGAAAAAGTATCAGATGCCACTCCTTGGGTCAGTCCATTAGTTGTTATCCCAAAGAAAGATGGTGAGATCAGGCTATGCATTGATATGCGCATGGCTAATCAGGCAATTCAACGCGAAAGACATCCGACCCCAACTGTGGATGATTTAATTCACAAATTAAACGGCGCCACCATATTTACAAAGCTTGATCTTCGCTCGGGATACCACCAGTTATCTCTCGCTGAGGAAAGTCGACACATACCACATAACACAAAGGACTCTACCGCTATGAAGTTGAATTTTGGCACCAATTCGGCAAGTGAAATCTTCCAACATGTAATTAGCGAACAAATCCGTGACATTCCGAATGCCATCAACATTAGTGATGACATAATTATCTTTGGCATAACCCAAGCTGAGCATGACAAAGCTCTTCATGAAATTTTTGAGCGGTTTTCACTCATTGGATTAACCTTCAACAAAGACAAATGTGAGTTCAGTCAATCGCAGCTCACATTTTTTGGTTTTGTCTTCTCAGGTGATGGCATTTCACCGGATCCAGCGAAGGTTTCAGCAATTCACAACTGCCCACCTCCAAATTCAATTAAAGCTGTTCGGAGTTTCCTTGGGATGGTGACATATTGTGCGAAATTTATCCCTAATTTCAGTGATCTCACAGAGCCTTTGCGAGAATTAACGAGAAAAAATGTGCCTTTTTGCTGGACATCTAGGCATGCTAAATCCTTCAACGCAGTAAAAGCTGCCCTCACACGTGCAACAGTTATGGCATATTTTGATCAAACCAAGGAAACAGAACTTATCACTGATGCATCACCTTTTGGTCTCTCAGCTATTCTGACACAGAAAGTCCCAGGATCAGACCAACAAAATGTTGTTGCATATATCAGTCGTTCGCTGTCGGATGTTGAGAGACGATACTGTCAAACAGAGCGAGAAGCTCTTGCAATTGTGTGGGCAATTGAACGTTTACATATCTATCTATACGGAGGACATTTTACTCTGATAACTGATTGCAAACCAGTCGAGTTGATTTTAAATAATCCACAATCAAGACCTCCAGCCAGAATTGAGAGATGGAATTTACGCTTACAAGATTATGACTTTAATGTAAGGTATACAAAGGGACTTGACAATCCATCAGATTTCCTATCTCGACATTTACCTGTTAACAACACCACTGATGACAGACAGTTCCAAACAATGGCTGACAATTATGTTTGTTTCCTTACCCAACATGCTGTGCCAAGAGCAATGACTCTGCCTGAAATACAACAAGCCACCATGGCTGATTCAACATTACAGATCCTAAGCAACCTCATCACAACAGGTAAATGGCATTTAATAGACTCTCTAGACGTACAATCCAATCCCAATGTAAAGGTTTTGGACTTGAAAGCATGTGAGAAAATTAAAACAGAACTTACACTAAACGAGCATGATGGAATTATATTACGAGGCTCGCGAATTGTGCTTCCAGAAAGCCTTAGACTAAAGGCTGTTCAAATTGCTCATGAAGGCCACCAAGGGCTAGTAAAAACTAAACAGTTGTTGCGAGAGAAGGTTTGGTATCCAGGTATAGACAAGCTTGCTAAGCACACAGTGGATACTTGTTTGTTATGTCAGGCAAATGGACCAAACAGTCACCAAGAACCACTGCGAATGACGACGCTGCCTCCCCAACCCTGGCATACAGTGAACATTGATTTTTGTGGACCATTTCTAGGTGGTTCATATCTGTTAGTGATTATTGATGCATATTCACGATTTCCAGAGGTGGAAATTGTAAGTTCAACATCTGCAAAATCAACAATATTGAAACTTGAACGAATTTTTGCCACACATGGTATTCCAAAGGTGTTAAAGAGTGATAACGGTCCACCATTCCAGAGCCATGAATTTAGTCTGTACTTGAAAGAACTCGGCATTAAACATAAACCAAGCTCACCATTATGGCCCCAAGGAAATGGACAAGCCGAGAACTTTATGAAACCACTTGTAAAGGCTGTGAAATCTGCCCATCATGAAAACAAAGACTGGAAACGTGAAATGTTTAAATTTTTGCTCAACTACAGAGCTACCCCACATTCCACCACTGGCAAGTCACCGTCCGAGTTGCTATACAACCGTAAGATTCAAACAAAATTACCTCAAGTGACAGTCGAAAATGATTCTTCACTTCATCAAGAGGTGAAGGAGAGAGATGAAAGGTTGAAAAAGAACCAAAAAGAATATGCTGATTCCAAAAGAAGAGTTAAGTGTGCTGACATCAAGAAAAGTGATTTAGTTTTGGTGCGGCAACCGAAAGCAAATAAAATGTCCACAAAATACGATCCAATACCATATGAAGTCACAAATCGCCGTGGGAACAGAATCACAGCAATTAGGAATGGGAAATATATAACTCGGAACATTTCGTTCTTTAAAAAGTATCACCCCAGACATGGCAGATCGTTGGAGTCAACAGAGATAATGGATGAAGAAAATTATTCCTCAGATGAAGATGTCCACGAAGAGCATGAACAGTATGATGGACTGAGACAGAATGATCGTCCGCGGCAGAACAATGGTCAGAGACAAGATGATGGTCCGAGATATCCGGCAAGAGAAAGACAGCGGGTGTACAGATATGGAAATAACATTTATGATTGACCTGGACTAAAACAGATAAGATACAGTTTAAACATTATATGCATATTTTGTTATAGTTAGTACTAGAGTTCATATTTAAATCAAGGGAGGGATGCAATGTTGACATTATTGACACTAGCACACACGTGACTAGAAAGTTAGTTAAGTATTTTAGAAGCACGAGGCTAGGGAACCGGGAAGTAATTGGATACGTACTATGCTGTTTGTACAAGTTGTTTGATATCTATTGTTACACTTAAAAGTGCTTGATATTGATACAAAACCACGAACATTACATTGATATCCTAAGATACTGATATCCTAAGATACTGATATCCTAAGATATTGATATCCTAAGAAAATTGATATCCTAAGATACTGATATCCTAAGATATTGATATCCTAAGATATTGATATCCTAAGATAATGATATCCTACGATACTGATATCCCAAGAATTGATATCTTAAGATATTGATATCCTAAGATACTGATATCCTAAGATACTGATATCCTAAGAAAATTATATCCTAAGATACTGATATCCTAAGATACTGATATCCTAAGATACTGATATCCTAAGATAATTGATATCCTAAGATATTGATATCCTAAGATACTGATATCCTAAGATACTGATATCCTAAGATATCTGATATCCTAAGATACTGATATCCTAAGATACTGATATCCTAAGATATTGATATCCTAAGATACTGATATCCTAAGATATTGATATCCTAAGATACTGATATTCTAAGATACTGATATTCTAAGATATTGATATCTTAAGATATTGATATCCTAAGATACTGATATCCTAAGAAAATGATATCCTAAGATATTGATATCCTAAGATACTGATCAGCTCCTTAGGCTCGGAGCCGAGCTTCTTAGGCTCGGAGCCGAGCTTCTTAGGCTCGGAGCCGAGCACCTTAGGCTCGGAGCCGAGCACCTTAGGCTCGGAGCCGAGCACCTTAGGCTCGGAGCCGAGCACCTTAGGCTCGGAGCCGAGCACCTTAGGCTCGGAGCCAAGCTTCTTAGGCTCGGAGCCGACCACCTTAGGCTCGGAGCCAAGCTTCTTAGGCTCGGAGCCGAGCACCTTAGGCTCGGAGCCAAGCTTCTTAGGCTCGGAGCCGAGCACCTTAGGCTCGGAGCCAAGCTTCTTAGGCTCGGAGCCGAGCACCTTAGGCTCGGAGCCGAGCACCTTAGGCTCGGAGCCAAGCTTCTTAGGCTCGGAGCCGAGCACCTTAGGCTCGGAGCCGAGCACCTTAGGCTCGGAGCCGAGCTTCTTAGGCTCGGAGCCGAGCACCTTAGGCTCGGAGCCGAGCTTCTTAGGCTCGGAGCCAGAGCTTCTTAGGCTCGGAGCCGAGCACCTTAGGCTCGGAGCCGGCTCCTTAGGCTCGCAGTCAGCTCCTTAGGCTGGAAGTGATGTTACTCTGAGTGTGTATCCACACCGGGCAGGCTTGAAAAATATGCCTGCAGCCACGGTGGGAATCGAACCTACGACCTCTAGAATACTAGCCCAATGCCCAGGCAATATTTTTTAAGCCTGCTCCGGGAGGATACACACTCAGAGTAACATCACTTCCAGCCTAAGGAGCTGACTGCGAGCCTAAGGAGCCGGCTCCGAGCCTAAGGAGCCAGCTCCGAGCCTAAGGTGCTCGGCTCCGAGCCTAAGGAGCTGACTGCGAGCCTAAGGAGCCGGCTCCGAGTCTAAGGAGCTTGGCTCCGAACCTAAGGTGCTCGGCTCCGAGCCTAAGGTGCTCGGCTCCGAGCCTAAGAAGCTCGGCTCCGAGCCTAAGGTGCTCGGCTCCGAGCCTAAGAAGCTCGGCTCCGAGCCTAAGAAGCTCGGCTCCGAGCCTAAGGAGCTGATCAGTATCTTAGGATATCAATATCTTAGGATATCATTTTCTTAGGATATCAGTATCTTAAGATATCAGTATCTTAGGATATCAATATCTTAAGATATCAATATCTTGGGATATCAGTATCTTAGGATATCATTATCTTAGGCTCCGAGCCTAAGAAGCTCGGCTCCGAGCCTAAGGAGCTGATCAGTATCTTAGGATATCAATATCTTAGGATATCATTTTCTTAGGATATCAGTATCTTAAGATATCAGATCAGTATCTTAGGATATCAATATCTTAGGATATCATTTTCTTAGGATATCAGTATCTTAAGATATCAGTATCTTAGGATATCAATATCTTAAGATATCAATATCTTAAGATATCAGTATCTTAGGATATCAATATCTTAAGATATCAATATCTTGGGATATCAGTATCTTAGGATATCATTATCTTAGAATATCATTATCTTAGAATATCAGTATCTTAGGATATCAATATCTTAGGATATCAGTATCTTAGGATATCAATATCTTAGGATATCAATATCTTAGGATATCAGTATCTTAGGATATCAATATCTTAGGATATCATTATCTTAGGATATCAGTATCTTAGGATATCAATATCTTAGGATATCAGTATCTTAGGATATCAGTATCTTAGGATATCAGTATCTTAGGATATCAGTATCTTAGGATATCAGTATCTTAGGATATCAGTATCTTAGGATATCAGTATCTTAGGATATCAGTATCTTAGGATATCATTTTCTTAGCTAGGATATCATTTTCTTACCCGGGATATCAGTATCTTAGGATGTCAATATCTTAGGATATCAATATCTTAGGATATCAGTATCTTAGGATATCAGTATCTTAGGATATCAATATCTTAGGATATCAATATCTTAGGATATCAGTATCTTAGGATATCATTATCTTAGGATATCATTATCTTAGAATATCAGTATCTTAGGATATCATTATCTTAGAATATCATTATCTTAGGATATCAATATCCTAGGATATCAATATCTTAGGATATCATTTTCTTAGCTAGGATATCATTTTCTTACCCGGGATATCAGTATCTTAGGATATCAATATCTTAAGATATCAATATCTTGGGATATCAGTATCGTAGGATATAATTTTCTTAGGATATCAGTATCTTATGATATCAATATCTTAGGATATCAATATCTTAGGATATCAGTATCTTAGGATATCATTATCTTAGAATATCATTATCTTAGGATATCAATATCTTAGGATATCATTATCTTAGAATATCATTATCTTAGGATATCAATATCCTAGGATATCAGTGTCTTAGGATATCAGTGTCTTAGGATATCAATATCTTAGGATATCATCCAGTATCTTAGGATATCATTTTTCTTAAGATATCAATATCTTAGGATATAATCCCTATCTATCCATTGGGATACATTTAGTTATGCAAATTTTTTGTTCGCCTAATCCCTTAATTACCTACACGCCACCTTATCACTTGGCAACACATAACAACGCAGCAAAGTTTAAAACATGTTTCTTAATACAAATAATAGACTATGCAGGTGAAAGGACACTGTATTTATAGTGATGTTACTGTATTGTGATGCTAATTGATTACGTTTGGCCCAGACCTGCGCGCGTTAATTGGTCGCACTACCTGTCACAGTTGGCCCAAGTTGGCCCAGGCCTGCACGCGTTAATTGGTCGCGCTACCTGGTGTCATAGATTTTGGAAGCTCATTATAAAATCCGCCAGATTTTTAGCCGAACAAAGTGACGTCATAGATTTTGGAAGCTCATTATAAAATCCGCCAGATTGTTAGCCGAACAATGTGACGTCATAGATTTTGGAAGCTCATTATAAATTCCGCCAGAGTGGGGGGTATTACTACTAACATTGACAACTGACTATGCTTTGCCTTGGCCTATTGAAACTTTCCCTTTTCGGATCATTTACTCTAAATTGAACGGTATTCGTTCTCCCTATTTTTCGATATGACTACTTCTCCCGACGAACATTTAGCTCATTTCTCCCCCTTTTTTTTCCGACCGACACATTGTAGCTATGGTAGCGTTTATGGTATGAATTATTTTGTCGTTTGTGAGAAGAGAATCGTGAGAGCGTCCAGTTTTGTACAAATGTGTAATATATGTTAATCATTGTGTAGTATGTGTTACCTTATTATAGGAAATTAACGATGCACTTTATTAACGCGGATTTTAAAAATTCGCGTTAATTTAATTAATGTTAATTTATGTCATCGTTAATTTTAAGTATGTAATTATTATTTATCGTTAGTTAAAAAGACGTTGATTTGTTTTATATAACATAACTCTTCTAATATCAAAATACAGCCAGCATATTATCGTAAACTAAAAAGATCACTGCTCCTCTCAACTCAGTTCACTATCTGATTCGCGTTAAATTTAATTAATTTGTCGTACATGGAGATCAGATTCGCGTTAATATAATCATATTTTAAAAGACCTAGAAGCAAACCGCGTTAATTTGATGTCGCGCTATTTATGTCGCGTTAATAAAGTGCATCGTTAGTTTCCTATAATAAGCTTAAACAACGGCATAATTCATGTTTGACGGCAATAATGTCTATTTATAAATGTCGAGCGGAATACTGGATCCAAATGTACTGATTTTCGCGCAAAAGTCGCCGGTGTTTCCCAGAGCCTCAGCAAGCCTCCACAGAGGATTGCGGGCTCTGGTTTCGAGATTGGTAGTCATGTAGTTTTTTTCCCTAAAAATATAGCAGCAAAACAAACTAGCTTTAGCGTTTAAAAATTACTTTCAAAGGATCATTTAAGTTTTTAAACAAAAGTTCCCTATGTCGAAAAGTGTTACAAACAATAAAACTTAACTTTAAACTAAAATATATTTTGTAAAATCCACAAAAAATGGCGTCTTCGTGAGGACGTCTCGCGTCCTCTTTGACGTCGCGTCGTGTTACCTAAAACTGTCTATTATCACGCCATAGACGGACGCGACTCGTTTTCTATATTTCCTAAATATTGGAAACAAATTGGAATGTTGGACATATCAAATGAAGATTTGAACGATATAGTGATTTTCATTTCTGCCATATAAAACCTTGAAGCCGTCTCAAAGATGACGTAATTTCAATAATACCACAAAACATAATCAGGGCGCATTTTTGAGAGAAGCTCTATATCTAACATGACAATGATCTTGTCTGCTCGCGGCCCCCCACTCGAAAATTTGTCCCACTTAATTAAATTCCATGCGAATGTGTAAGTTACGTAACATTACTCCTTTAAAATTAAAATTAAAAATTTGAAACAGGAAGTTATTTCATTCATTTAGGCTCGTCTTTTGTGAAAGATGAAAATGCCTTCCTTTTTACACTTGCCAACCCAACTGGAGCTCGTCCAACAAAACTTCCTCAAAGTGATGGCAGTGGTGGGATTTGGTGCAACCCGTCCTACGGTCCTGGATTTGGTAACGCCAATGGTAACTGTATAAATTTCATGAGTAACGGCTCTAACAGCTGTGCTATCAACAACAGCCATGTTAGTTTTTCTCTTCCTGAAGGTCAGTTATTTACTAATTTCATTTACGGAACTACGAGTTTTAGCATGAACTATTTGGAAGTCTTTGGCTTAAAAGAATGTTGAATTAGAGATTCAATTTTGAAAATAAAGATGATTAAAAAGAACTACCTGCTAAAGTTCATCAGCATTGGCTTATCCAGAACGTTTGTGTGTATTTTTGTGAATAAGATAACTATTTTTTATACCATTGGCTTTTAAAGATAAAACTACATTATAAGCCTGTAAGTATGGTTAGTAAACGCTTCTTGTATCGCTGAAAATATAAACTTTTTAATGTATTTTTTGTTACACTCTTGAAATATTTTCGTGTGTATGAATGAAATATTAGATTTGTTTCGTTGATTTGTAGTTTCTAGTTAATAGATAGTGTTATATTTTCTATAAATTCTTATTCTATTTTGAAAGTATACATATACAAAAGTACTAAAAAATAGAAGCATGCAGCAACCTCTCGGCGTCGCCTTTTTTAACAGATGAAGTATAAAAACTTCATGCACATAAAGTATTAAGACCATTATAAACAAACATAAAAACACAACTGATGCGCTAGCTTAATTAATGAACGATTGTAACATTCCCTGCAATTCCATGTATACCAGCTTCACAGCTTGAATTAAAACACATTATATATTGTGAATTATCGAGTTAAGAATTGCTTGAAATTTTCACAGATACGAATAAAATCGACAACACAAAGCAAGTACGGAATGGAATTTTACTACTCAAATATTTACACTTACCCAAACCGGCACAACAACGACTAAATTATTAAAAACATCAGCATCAAAACAATTATTACAAACTTTGTTTCACGGTTAGAGTCTACGATGAGTATGAAACATAGTCACGCGAACAGGTGGAAAAATTGATTGAGCATGCGCGAAAATTGCTCGGGTTTTCAGCGGGAGAAAAAGATACGCGTGCTTCCACTTGGTTGATCTAAAAACCATAAACAACATGAACGTAGCCTTCGAAATACAATTTTGCAGCTGCTGTTTAGGCTCACAAATCACTATAAAAATTGGATTTACTGACAAAAATGTTGCAGTAATACTTTGATTTCCTCTATTGCCACATATTTTGCAATGTAAACTGTTAATATCGATTATTTCAGTTCAAAACAAAATAGAGCAAAAAATTTCCTTTTAAAATGTCGTCTTATAGCTTCAATAAAATGTGAAATTTAAACCAAAAAAAAGTAATACCGACTTAATAAGGCTTTGAAATTTCATGCAAAAAAGTGATATTTCGTTGGCGCAACCTGTAACATGACAAAATTTGTGTTTATAGAATTTTGAACGAGCGAAAATTGTGTTTAAAAATAATACAAAGTTTACGCTTCGAAATGAGGGTCATAGAAAATCTGATTGATATGTTTATCTGTTTTTTTAAATACTTTGAAAACCTAAAAATAATATTTTAAAACTAGTATAGCAAAATACATGGCAAACTGTTTATTTTGATGCTCATTTTCTGAGTCGCCTTTTTCGTATAAATCACACTTGCACATGAAATTTGCCAAAATTCAGTACTAGCTCTCTTCATTTTATAGGCGAGTTTACATTCTATTAGCAAAAATTAGAAAGAAAACCACATCTTCTGACCTGATTACATTTTATTGGCACAACCTGCATGAGAAAATTAAGCTGGAAAACAAGCAATTTTAGCAAAATATCTCACATGCTGAAATTTGACGATGTGCGTTGGCGGACAGTATCACTCAAAAACCAAATATTTATGCTTTGTCCTGGACAACAAATGCATGTACTGCAAATTTCAAGTATTATTCCATTAATATTCAGTTCCTGCTCGAGGTTATTTGCCATCAAAAAACACACATTTGGGAAGAAACGTCATTTTCGGCCATGTTTCAGCGAATTCTTGACTGCTAATTTCCCGATTGCGGTCAAGTAATTGTGGTCTTGATTAACGTTTATTAAAGTTTACGTCTGCTAACTTTCTTTTACTTTTACTCTGCTGCAGTACGAGAAACAGAGTAGCGAAATCCGTGTTTTTGTTGTTTTTACAATTTTTGCTGGCAAAAAGAAAGCGTCCGCGATAAATTTGGTCACCGACGACAATTTTCTCACCTGTTGCTCCGGCGGCGATTTCATCTGCTCATTAGTAATAATAATAATAATAATATTTATTATTTTTTATCAGTGAAAATGAAGCAATCTGATTGGCTGAGAGCCTTTCAGAGCGGGCCGGTTTTTTGCATCCGGCCCGCTCTGAAACGCAACTGCCCGCTGTGAAATGCAACTGCCCGCTCTGGCTTTCGCGACAAAAACTGAGGAGTGAAACAATTTTTTAAAAGAAAAAATCTGCCAAAAACGTTTGAAAAACATAGCCTAACGATAGTCAGAATACAAAAATGAATTGCATCAAGCCCTAAAGACTTCATACTAAGCACGATGTTCACCAGAATTGACAATATTTTGATAGAAATGCGACTGAAAGTCGGAAAATTATTCGACATGTATAAAAGTTACGTCGAGAAAACTACATATTTTTTAAATGCTCATGTATTCGGCCACTTAAAAGCGAAAAAATTACAGCTTAAACAGTTATTGTAAAATAAATGTTTTCCCATTTAAAAAAAGTTTTATTTGCAGCAGTGAAAACAAGTCACGAATATATTCTCTACCCATTTGTGTCATACATTCTTCACTGATATAAATATTGTTGTGTCATACATTCTTCACTGATATAAATATTGTATTAAAACAAAGTAAAAGTTTGTGTTTAAATTAAAAACATTTTTTTCAAGCATATTATCGTGAAACGACAAGAAAAAAATACAAAAATATAAAAACAACATACCCTTTTCATTGACCTTTTAGTAGAAAAACGTTGATTAAATGAAAACAGATTCATTTTTATATTGACCTTTTAGTAGAAAAACGTTGATTAAATGAAAACAGATTCAGTAGAAAAACGTTGATTAAATGAAAACAGATTCAGAGTTTTTGATCTGATCTGAACATGAACTTGTGGTTGTCAGGAGCAACTGATTTTGTCAAAGCCAAAGCCAAAACGCCAGGCATAAAAGTTTTTATTCCAAAGCTTCTCTTCTATACCATATTCATGAAAAAAGCATGTACATTTTTACTGAAACTATACGTCTTTTTGTGTGTTTCTTGCCAGTTTTCTCGAGTTTTCGTATCGTGTTTTATATCATTCAACTTTTCAAATTTTAATTTTTGTCAGCCTCGCTTTGAAAATACACAACTGCACTGATCTCAAATTAGTTCACAAGCAACACTGGAATTTTAATCAATTTAATTTTTATATCTGATAAAAAATAAACACGTTATTTACCGGCAGCGTCGGTCCGGATGAGAAAAACTGTGCCCTCGGTCTTGAAAACGTCCCTCGCCCTTCGGGCTCGGGCCGTTAGTCAAGACTTCGGGCACAGTTTTTCTCATCCGGACCTCGCAGCCGGTAAATAACATATATATATTTATATTGCGCAAATTAACATGTTATAGTATATGATCAAATGCGCATCACAAAACATAATTACACTAAAATTATTCTATGCTGAATGGTTACTAACTAAAAATATAAAGAAGATTATATAGATTATATGTTACATGAAGTATTTACATTAAAGGCTTCTTCAAAATAATAAGTCTTAACATTAGTACAGTAGTTGAATTGGTGACACACTGCGACGAATTAAAATCGTCAACGTGGAAGCTACTAACAATCAACAGACCGAATATACAATAAAACATAAAATATTTAATTACTCTGTATTTTGTAAAGACAACCCTACCTAATCTAAACATCTTCAGCTAACGTAAAATCAGACTGAGCTCATACCATCCGCTTCGTCTTTCTGTCGTCGGCTAGCCCCTCGATCGTAGTTAACATTGTTCAACTTGCCCCAATTGTCGGCCCAATACAATTCGCATGCCCAATGCACTTCCCAACGCTTAACCCAAATTTTCGCGAGCACACATCCCGCTTGTTAGAACAACAGTGATTCCTAATCGCTCCACCATACGCGATTCTTTATCGGCAATCGCCCTGAAGGCAAACCAGCCCCGGCTTGTTGTACACTTCAACTCCAGACAGACTCTTCAACGTCTTTTCAGTTCTATTGGTTTCCCCCTTCCCTTGATGCACTGATCATCAACAAATTCACCTGCACGCCACGGTTTAAGTTTTTTTTATTCTTGTAGTTTTTTTATTTCCTTCGACTACCGGCTACTAATGTAGCATATCCATGATTAGCGAATCAAGTCTGCTATTTATACTCTTAAATAAATCGTTAAATTTATTATAAGTAAACGCATGGTTTGAGGGAAATTAGTGATTAAATGACCCCGCAAACCGAGGAAGGTTTAGTAAAATTCCCCAGGGCGTAGCGTTTACTTTGTAATTACATGGTAGCCGAGGGAATCACGCGTGGTGTGTTGGTCTGCTTTGAATGCTGTTTGGTTGTCTTATGATTGTTGGATGAACACTTTTCATATATACGCACGCTCAGAAACACATCTCCGTGTTCATTCTTTTTAGGCATGCGCATAAACCGAATTTTCTCCCACAATTGAAATGTTCAAGATTGCGGAATAAAAGCTGGCAAAGTGATTGTTCGAATGTGTACGGGACGGTGTCGTCAGATACTGTCCATAGTTGTGCCGATGACTTACGATGAGGTACGCTTTTGTCTTCTGAATTTCCCTCATCAAGCATGCAGTGGAAAATTAGAAGACAAAGAAATATTTTGTTTTCAACTTTGTTTTGCATGGGTAATGCATGCATATGCATGGTAATGAGGGAAATACGGGATTTACATTCCCACTCAGAACAATGAAAATCGAGACTACCATGTAATTACATACTGTAATCATTAAATAAACCAAAATTTACATTGAATTTACATACTATTATTCCCTCACACACACGTGAGGGATCGATCTCTTTTTTACTCGCACCAGCTTTTTCAGTATTCTTTTGGCAGTTTGTACAGCTCTCTCAGCTCCACCATTTGACTGAGCATACTCTGGCGAGCTAGTAATATGCTGAAATCCCCATTCCTTAGCAAATTGTTTAAATTCATGACTAATATCAAACAAATTGCGTGTATTACTGTATTGAGGTCCATTATCACTTGTTCTGGTACCCCATACCTTGCAAATACTATTTCAGGTTATTAGGAAGGAAGGCATGTCGCACGCCGCTGACGAAGCAATTCATTCAGTTTCACGATACTTAGAATAGAAATCAGCTGCCAATAAATAGATCTTTCCCGCATGTTCAAAAACGTCTGTACCCACAACTTGCCAAGGTGAACCTGAAATGTCATGTGGATTCAGTGTTTTTCTCTGTTGATTATTTCAATAGGCATTACAAATTTGATAGGAACTAACCTTATCCTTGATTCGTATCATTGACGGCCAAAATAAGTAATCTCGATCTAGCAAAACAGACACCTTTGGATTCTTCGAGAATAGCACCGTGTATTTCATCCTATATTTCACTTCGCATTCCTCCTGGAACAACCAATCTATCAGTCTTGAACAATAGTCCATCTTCCAAACTTATTCTTCTCTGTAACTCTAATACTCTCGTGCCAGTTCACCAACCTGGTCTTTAAGTCCAGACCAGCCTTTCCCCACATACTCGATTTACCAGTCTAGAGGTTTCATCAACACTGGTTGCATCTCGGAACTTTGACATGGTACTTTCTTCCATTCCTAAACCATCAATTAGACCGACTCCAATTTCATCACCAAATTAAGTCATCAGTCGATTCGAGAGTGCTGATGGCGCTCGCCATGACAATCAGAAATCACTTGTTGCTTCCCTGGAACATATCTTACATCCAGGTCGTATAATGTAAGTTTTGACAACATTTGTTGTAATCTTGGCGCCGCCTCGTAAGTGGTTTCCTAGAATAGTTTGCAATGAGTTATGCTCTGTTACTACAACTACTATCCGTTTGTACATATAGGTTTGAAACACTTTCATCCCCCACATAATCGCCAACAATTCTCTCTCAATATTTGCGCATATCTCTGTTCGCAACTAATGAATGTTCTCGGACCGTATGCCACAGGTTTACCCTTTTGTAGTATTACACCACCAAGCACCAGTGGGTGCTTGCATCAACATTTAACACGTTTCTTTACTGTTATCAAAATAATCTAGTGCTGGAGTATTTGTAATAAAGGCTTTGGTCTGATCAAAAACTTCTTTGCTGACATAGTCGTGTTGATCTGATGCATGGCTCCCTTGGTTAAGGACTAACCATTCTATATCAAGGAAACCAAACATGCTCTCCAAATCTTCACTCGCAAATTCATCTTCACCGTGGATGTCAAATCCGTGTACACTGTTATTCCGCATCATGATGGTTTAAGGGCCCTCAAATTCTTTCTAGCTACTGCTCACCCTCAACAATTTTTGCTTTAGTGGTGAGCATTATCAACAGATAAGTGGCGTAACTATGGGAACCAAAATGGGTCCCAACTATGCTAATTTGTTTGTTGCCTTTGTGAAAAAACAGATCTTCAACAATACACGTATCCCATCCCCGATTAACTTTATTAATAATTTCCATCTAGAACTCCAGTTCACACGAGAGATCAATGACACCCGTGTATCATTCTTAGATATCTTTGTGTCAATTAATGGTAATCAACTAGTTACTTCTGTGTTCTACAAGCCCACTGACCCCAATAGCTATATTCTATTTTCCTCTTCCCACCACAACCACACCAAAAGGTCGATTCCCTTCTCTCAGTTCCTTCGCCTTCGCCGCATTTGCAGTGAAAAGGAGGACCTCCAAGTCAAAAGTCAGGAAATGAGACACTTTTTGTCCAACGTGGCTATCCTACCTCTCTTATTAGACGCTGTGTTTTTGGAAGCCTCCCACATTCTCCGATCCGTGACTCTTACAGACCTAGGCCTGTGTCCAATCTCACAAGTAACAACAAAATCCCCCGAGTATTAATTTATCATCTTTTCAATTTTAAAGCCAAAGATGTCATTAGGATGTCATTAGGAAGAATTTCCAAATTTTGAAAAATAACCGGAAACATCTTTCATCTTCTCCAGTAACCCCTTAGTTTCTTTTCGACACAGCAAAAATATCCGTGAAGCCCTGGTTCATAGCTCCCTGTCACAGGATTCGTCGTCACATAATGGCACGTTTCCTTGCCGGGTTGCCAAATGCAAAACCTGTGATGGTATAGACTCTGCTACCATCATTTCGGCACCAATATCTCAATACCATGAAATCTGCTGTGTTGGTGTAATGTACTCAGACCAACACAGCAGATTTCATAAATATTAGATTACATTGATATCGAAGGAACTAGACTCAGTTCCGAAATATCGCTTACTCGAACCGTCCTGACCGCGTAGCTCAGTTGGAAGAGCATTGGGCTAGTATTCCAAAGGTCGTAGGTTCGAATCCCGCCGTGGCCAGGCATATTTTTCAAGCCTGCCCGGTGTGGATATACACTCAGAGTAACATCGCACAAACATCTCAATACCATGTCAAACACGAATTCACGTGCGCCTCCTCCCATCTCGCCTGGTGTATCTCATGCAGTAGATGTGGTATTCTTTATATTGGAGAAACTGGAAGGTCTTTGAGGACAAGGTTTGGTGAGCATTGGCACGAAGTCATTGGCGATGATGCTGATCAGCCTGTTGGCAGACATTTTTATACTGGCAATTCCAATGTTTCAGATTTGGAAATTCGCGCTCTCTATCCCATTTCTGGTTGCAACAATAGCCGAAAAAGACATGACCCATTACATTCCTGTTGAATCAATCGATATGCAAATATAAGTGTAAACATGTCATTTTTTGCCACAATTAAGAAATTGGCACTGTCCACCCCTATGGCATTAATCAACCTTTTTCCTATGTTTAACTCCATCTGTCTTTACCTGTTTAAAGAAGACATTGGCAGCACTTTTAATTATTACCTAATTGCATGCGTGTTACATATATTTTGTTGTATTTGCTGTAGGTTTCTGTATATTTGCATTAATATATTCTGTAATGTGATGTGGTGTGATTGAGGACTGGACAAGATTTCAAGTCCGCCCAAATTGATCAACTGGGTCAAAATTAGAGGCTTGAAATCTGATAGTACGAATTAGAGGATTTGATATTTCATACGAATATATCACTACTTAAAGTGAGGTGAATTAATTTTGATCCATCCAAGGACTGAATTAATTTTTATCCAGTGTTAAAATTGGATCAGTATACTTCTCCAGGTGTCCAGTATTATCGTGTGTGCAAAATAAAGCAATATGATAGGCCAATTTACTCGTGCATTATTAATGAGTTTACGATTTACATTTCTTGTTTATAATTTGTTTTGACTATTAAGTCCATCTGATTGATTGATTTTTTGTCACGTGATCGCTTTTATATTCTTAGTATAATAGCTCATGTAATATTCCCGCCCCTGCTAGTAACTCCAGACGAAGGGCCTTTGCTCGAAACGTCGAAACTCTTCTTATATTTTTCAAGTAGTTCCATCCCTACCAACGAAAGTTTGTTCATATTATTGGCGCTACCTACAGACAGACAGTCAAAAAAACAAAAATAGTACACAGCCAAAAACAGGCACAGACAGAAAAAAAAAGAGGAACAAATACAGAAGTCAAATTCTGGAATGAGCTTGTTGAAGGAAGGCCGTTTTAACGTTTCAGGTTTCAAGAAGTCTGCAGAGAAAGAGGAAAATGTTAGCAAAAAATATGGTTCAAAGATCCTAAGAAAAATTAAGGCAGTTTGAAATTTGGGTCAAACAGCCGTGTTACTGCTGATATCACTCAGCTTATATATAACAGACTTTCATAGCTATGTTACTAAATGACCTTTAAATGTATATTTTGTACGTTTTGTGACCAGTTATGGTATAAACACAGTGTTGGTTCAGGTGAACGATTAGGGTTGGTTAACTCAGATATTGCTAATTATTACATAATACAGGTACCATTAAAGTTCAATTGAAACGGCTATTTTATTGTAAAGATTTTGCATTTTCTTTGAACATAAACCTCACAAAGTAATTTGATGCAGCAGCTTTGTAAGTCAATACTACTTCTTTATACCAAGAGCAGGAAATAACTCTTGATGGAAACTGGATGACAACTATTGTACCAGAAACAGTTTCTGATGATCATGGGAATAAGAATACAAATATCTCAGATGATAATGCACATACTCCAGAAGACGAATGGACTGAAGATTAAACTAATATTAAGCCGACAGCATGTTATCTCCTCCAAAATAAAATTTGTCGGTTGTAGTGAAAGACAAAAGATATATAATTTTAAATTTAAACTAATTCAAAGTGACCCAGTAACAAGTGCAAGACTACCACCGGGATGAACACCAACAACGAGGCTTGCTTCACATACACATGATGTCGCTCCATTCACTGACCAAATAAGACCTTGCAGTAAACCAGAAAATAACTGTACCTCCTATATATTCTGTTGCTTGAAGTCGTTTGGGACTTGGGAGGATAAAACATCTGTTGATCAAACAGTTGTAAAAGAAATGGAATTGTTAGGAACGGGACAAAGCTTAGGTACATGTTGGATTACTCTGATTTGAAAATATGTTACCTCATTGCTCTATATTGGCACAAGCACATTGAAGATTTTCGTAAAGACATTAATTACTTCTGTACCGACATTTTAAAATTGACTGGTTTATTCCTTCACACCATGATGAAACTTTCATGCTCATGCGCGTCATACACGAGTATCTAAACGGCATGACAAACATCCCATTAAAGCCCTTATGACACACGATAACGTTTTAGTTATTTGCAAAATATTTAATGCTCAGGGACCGTTCAGTAAGAAATAACAAAGGTCCTAAGACCGATCCCTGTGGATCACCTGTTAGCATTTGATCTTTGTTGGCTCTGGTATATCTAACAAAGATCAAATGCTAACAGGTGTTCCACAGGGATCGGTCTTAGGACCTTTGTTATTTCTTATTTATGTGAACCATATATATAAATCATCTAACAAATTAACATTTTATCTCTTTGCTGACGATAATAATTTGATTACTCTACGCGGATAAAATCTTAGGTCATTAGAAAATATTGTCAACATTTAACTTTCTAAAATTTGCAAATGGTTGACAGCAAATAAATTGTTTTTAAATATTAAAAAATCAAGTTATATTATTTTTCACCCCTACCAGAAAAAACCTAATTACCAAGTAGATTTAAAAATGCTTGATACGAGTACCAATACATATGCTTTTTTAGAACAAAAAGGTTGTGTCAGATACTTGGGTATACTTATTGATAGTAATTTATCATGGAAGGATCATATTAATCACATCGCGGCAAAAATCGGCAAGTTGACTGGTGTTATTGCTAAACTGTGACAATTTGTACAAACACATACTTTATTAAATATTTACCGATCACTTATACTACCCCACATGTCGTATGGCATTGTAGTATGGGGTCATGCTGCTCAAACCCATCTTGATAAATTGCTAAAACTATAAAAACGAGCATTACGTCTGATTTACTTCGGACAATATTTTTCTCATACAATACCTTTCTTCTGCTCGTCAAATAAATTACCTATCAATATGCTTTGTTTTAAAGCGACATCAATTTTGATGCATGATGTCTCAAATAATATTACACCGCCAAATATCTCCAATCAATTTATTTATTTTAACATCATTCATAAACATAACACCAATTCTTCTTTAAAAGACAATTATTTTATTAAACTTACTAAATTACAAAAACAAAGGAACTGATTCCTAGGTGTGGGCACTAGGATATGGAATACTCTGCCTACTGAATTACGTGACTAATCATAGAAAGATTTCGGTAAAATCTTACATCGGAAATTGCTTTAAAATCGAAGGAAGATGATTTTATCAACCAAACAGATCTATTAAAGGAAATAGATAAATGCCTAGAGTAAGGAAATTTGTGTGTACTATATGTTGTATTTGCATTTTAATTCTAAACGTTTTTGTTAAGACTTATAAGTGCATGCATACATAATATTGTGTGTGATCTTTGTGGTGTTATGTTAATCTCGTTCTGCACTTTTTTGATGTGCATGTTTCTGCCATTCGTCTGTTTATCCTACCTAATATGTCTGTTCTACGTATTTTAGTCCGAATGTGATGTCAATTTCTGTTAACTTTGTAATATTATGGTAGAACAAGATTTCTCTATAATAAGCCTGAGGCTGTTAGAAAAATTGTCATTTTTATTAATAAAATATTGTTTAAATGAATCCGGTCTTTTGTTAAAAGGAAGACTGGTTAATAAAATTGCATGGTCCTATTGAGTGACATGATCGCGTATTGTCATCGATCCGTGTCGTTGAACAATGAAAAATTTGTCGTGAGATTATTGAAGATAAATTGGTCTACTGAGTGGGAACTTTTCGGATTTGAACTCAGCGTGTTTGAATGTGTTAGCTGCCGTCAAAATATTTCAGATTTAAGACATGCTTAATGAAAGTGAACGATATCGGATAACAACACACGAACTAATATCCGTTACGTCAATACTCTAACTCAGCACATTGAAGATTTTCGTAAAGACATTAATTATTCCTGTACCGTCATTTTAAAATATACTGGTATACTCCTTCACACACTGATGAAACTTCCTTCTTCGCCCGCCTTATACACGACCACCAAAATGACAAGACAAACATTCCCGTTAGCCCTTTGCGACCCGGTCAAGTTTATATTTGCAAAATATTTATTGCTAACTCAAGTCTCTTCTGATTTACAAGGAACGCAACGAAATTCAACACTTTTCCCAACATAACAAAAATTGTAAAGGTTTAGAAACAACCGAGATGTCTTCAACACCATTGGCACGTATCCATGGAGGAAGAGAAACCAAGTTTCAGCACAGTAATGAATACCTATATACCATTGTTTTCAGCTGCAAATATTGATGAATACATATTACTTACAATATTATCGTCGCATTAGTTACTTCTTATCAGGGCCGGAACTACTGCGGGGGGAGGGAGTATTTTTAACACCCCCTCTCTCCATTATAGAAAAAAAACAAATATTTGGAATAGCAATACCAGTATCGAGGAAACTATGATACATGTAGGTCGAGTAGTTGTTTTTTTGTGAAATGAATAACGGAGCAGACTTGCATTGTACTAGTCACGACCATCAAATCCTTCCATATACTTTCGAAGCATTTTAATTATCCTTGCTTCTGTTTGTTTGTTGTGAACATTCTTATGGTGGGCCCAGTACTCTCACGACACTGTAATGAATGGTTTACTGTTTGCACAGGACTTGACAGGGCCGTTCAATTCATCCATGTGCTTCAAAAGCACTTTTATTATTCTTGCTTGTCTAAATCCGTTTGTCGTAAACATTCTTCATCTGTTGTTGAACAAACATCAATCCAGTGCGTGCCATTACTAAGTGTAGGTTGTAAAGTTTTGGTTTTGTGGTCAAACTTGATTGTCACAGGAAGATAATCTGCACCTATCACACCGTTTCTACATGAAATGAGAAAATGTTCACCTGGCAATCGATCTATGCAACAAGATGGTATATTTGCATTCCATTTGTACTTAGATTTTTTCACTTGCTGAATATTATGAAAATTAGCCTTGCTGCTCGACGGCCGAATTTTCGATAAGAATAAGAAATACTTGTATGATTGACTGTTCGTCAGTATTTTTGTAAAAACCAAAGTAAATAACGTTCTAAGATTATTTACGGTATACATTTTACTGTTTGAATGTATAGTGCACTAAGATAACGTAAAATCGACGCTGAGTGAAAATGTCTCAGAATGGAAATCCGTAAGACGACTCGTAGTTTTTAATTGTAACAAACCAAATGATAAATTTCATGTGGTCTTGTATCTCATAGGACGAGGACTACGAAATAAAAGTTATGAAATTCCTACTGGAACTTTTTTGCTCAAATATTTGAACAGAAAACAATATTTTATCCATGACTGGTGAATAAAAAAATTCGGCAGTTATGGAGAAACATTTTAAAGCTGTTTCGTTTCTTCCTTTTTCAGCGGTTTTCTTTGAACCTTGATATAAATTTAAATCCTAATTGACTGACACTAACACTTCAGCTCGGAAACTGTAGACTGCCAATATGCTTCACGACTTCCTGTAATGGTCCGAAGATATAGTTACTATTTCCCTTATTCCCACTAAGGGATAGTGGGGTGCTTGAGGGTGGATGGTTATGAGGGGGGTTACAAAGTTTTAAAAGTTGCCGAAGGAGGACTTATGTTGATTCTTTACTTGAAGAAGGAAGGGTTAGCATAAAAATAGTCTCATATAAAGCAGTTTTGATAAATATTAATTAAAAACAACACAATTATAATACACAAACAAAATAATTTATACATACAAAGAAACTTAACAAATCGAAATAGTTAATACACTGTAGACAACCAGTACATTGTGTTACCACCTGCTAAGCTGTAAAATCAACAACTTTAGTCTCGGCCATTTTATTAAATGTACAAAAATTTAGTGGACCGAAATAATATCGTTGGCCTTATTATTATTAAGAACAAGGCCAACACAAGACTTTTTGTTTCAAGTTGAAATTGCAATGTTAAAACTCAACGTTTATTTTGTTTTTAATTTATGTACACTTATAACTAAAACTTTCGTGCAATGCTTGTGGTTTTCTTTCCAGTAACAAACCAATAACTTATTGGGTTGTTACGGCTGATAATTACAATACTATATTGTTGATAACGTGCGGAACGGGTGCATGGCAATACGATAATTTTTATTTCATTATGTTTTTTGTACAACACACCAAAAATGGTTGAAAGATTATATTATTGCTTTTAACTATAGAACAATGAATTTCCGAAATATGAACTGTTGGTATGTTGTTCTTTTCTTTTGTGAGCTTTGAATTAATGTAAAATTTAATCTGAATCGCTCCGTAAATCTTTTTAAATATTCATTTTAATAACTAAACTGCTTTTGCCGATAAAGTACAGTTTTACTTGGCATAAAAAAAAATAAGCAGGGCCGAATTAAAAATTTGCCCCGGGCCCCCGAATCTCTCTGTGCGGTCATGAAAATAAGTTCAAATTGATTGAATAATTTCAAACATGTCTTCAAATTCATTTGCTCTCGATCCATTACATTTTAACTTTTCAAAATTAAACAGGATAAACCTACACCTCCATTGAAAAGGAAAAGGAAAGCTGCGCATGTTTAACGCAAGAAAATACCACTTGTAGCGAGCTATAGTTGCGTGTTGACCCTTGTGATGAATAAAAAGAGGCTTGGGTGTTCGTTACGTCCCGCAGTGACATTAAACAATAACTTTATTTCCCTTTGATATCGCACAAGTAATTGAAAAAACTATAAAACAATGCCATTAGAGAATGTAGTGATTTCTGCTTAACAAGCAAGGTCAGACTATTTTCACCCTTACCTGGTTAGTTGGAGTCGAAGAATCCTGGAAAGCTTTGTTGGATCATTCCAAGACAAATTTTTGTATTCCTACAGAGTGGATTAATTTGAGTTGTTAAAAAAGGTTGCTATATTAAGTTTACGTATAGTTGTCTTTTTATATAATTTTGTTTTAGTTGATGAAAAAGGAATTATATACATGTGCTGAGTATTGAATGCTTATTAAGATCAAATGAGAATCTGAGGATAACTATTGCATTCAGTGTTCAATTTTCAAACGCGATCATGCCTAAAACGGTGGTTCCGCCCAGTTATGCTGTTTATGCCTTGCAGAAAAACTTTGTATATTAAGAATAAACAATAGATTTTTATCAAACAAAATGTCAGAACCAATTTGACACTAATTTTTGTGCTAAATGGTCATAGGTTTTACCACAAATAGATTAATTAGCTTTTTTTAAACGTCTTGAAAACAGCTGTATCTTCAGTCTGATGATAGCCTTTGAGTGCAAAACTCGAGTAAATAAAGTAGAAGTGTAAGTGCCGTTTATTTTAGTACTGAATATATATATGTATGTATATGTACTATTTAAAGCACGCGTAGGAGTGTTTTATCGTATATGAAACACGACACGTAGCGGAGTGTTTTATATGTGATGAAACACGACTACAAGTGCTTTAAATAGCTTAAAAAACGACTCATCTTATACGAGTTCATTAGCGAAGTAATTTTTAAAATAAACTTTGTCTAAACCGACAAAATCAAAGCTAAAGTTTATGTAAATTAACGTGATTTTTTATCACATATAAAACCACAACACGCTTATGATTTTTCTTTGTGTTTTGCTCCTGAATTATTAATGAGTTTTTTAAATATATATATACACTGGATCCAGAAAAGTTTGACCTTCGAATATATATATATATATATATATATATATATATATATATATATATATATATATATATATATATATATATATATATATATATATATATATATATACATATATATATATATATATATATATATATATATATATATATATATATATATATATATATATATATATATATACGTTAATCACCAACACATATTTTTAACGTTTCGACTTTATTGTCTTCATATATATATAGTTAGATATCGCTCTATGGCCTTTAGGTCATATTGAGCGCTCTACAGGATGAGCCATGCCGCTTACGCATTGCGCACGCTCACTGCTTGCAGTTTGAGCGCTCTGGCATGGTTTTGATGTCCCACAATCGTGAGGCATCAAAGCTAACTGTAAATAGCAGTTACTTTCATCCTGCTCATCAGCACTACACTGATGAGGCCTATAAGGCCGAAACGGTACCGTCTGTAGTTAGATATCGCTCTATGGCCTTTAGGTCATATTGAGCGCTCTACAGGATGAGCCATGCCGCTTACGCATTGCGCACGCTCATTGCTTGCAGTTTGAGCGCTCTGGTATAGTTTTGATGTCCCACAATCGTGAGGCATCAAAGGTAACTGTAAATAGCAGTTACTTTCATCTTGCTCATCAGCACTGCACTGATGAGGCCCATATGGCCGAAACGGTACCGTCTGTATAATATATATATATATATATATAATATATATATATATATATATATATATATATATATATATATATATATATATATATATATATATATATATATATATATATATATATATATATATATATATATATATATATATATATATATAGCTTAAGATTTTGGTTTACGAAACACAAACAGTGCTCAATGCCATATAGATAGAGCGTAATATATATATATATATATATATATATATATATATATATATATATATATATATATATATATATATATATATATATATATATATATATATACACACACACACACATGGAAATACTCCCTTATAACTAGCTTATAACTAGCTCTTGGTTAGGTAAAAAAATCTAAATTTGTGTTCAGAAATACCATCTACTATTCATGTGACCATATTTATAAATATATAATTGAAAGCAACAGAACCTTTCGTACGCTGTATTTTGGAGTGTGAGTGGTTCCAGTGAGCTCAATAATATAACTGTAGTCATATCTTAGGTATTCAAAGTGAACATCTATTGTTCCCTTTACACAGAAACCAAGAGCCTGGTAACGAAATTGCGTAAAATCTAGGTCAGTATGGAAAAACTAATAATACAAGAGACGGATTTTTTATTATATGTTTATCAATAAATACAACTAGCTACCAAACACTTTTCGAAATGCAAGGGAAAATGTCGAGGTATCATTGTATCACGCGAATTCAAGTGAATATATTAACTAGACAGACCTTTCGTTCCTCCGCACTTTAAAATATAGCTAAGATAATAAACTACTCGCAGCCACAATCTCCACCCCCCCCCCCTCCTCCTCCATAAGTGTGTTTTTGTACCTATCTCTAGTTATGGAATAGATCTAGTTTCACCAAATACATATTCCTTGACATGGCAATCGGATAATTCAACGAAAAGATCAATATAACATTCACACAATATCCATGTTTCGACATTTATGCCTTTTGGTTCCTTAAGCTCCCTGTTGTCAACGTTTAACTTAAAGACAAGAATTCTTTGTCTAAAATCAGATATCAAAAAATGAATATAGATAATTAAACTTAAAATCCTTCAGATATCTACACTTTACCTGCACTAGTCTAATACCAGCTAACAACACACTGTTAATTTCAGGGTGTTAAAATAACACCTCGGGTGGTGTTAGATTAACACCAACTGGTGGTGTTAAACAAAAGTGTTATTTTAGCACCCTTTTTCGGTGCTAATTTAACACGACATAAATAAAAATATTTTGCAAAGTGTTAATTTAACACTCAAATTGTTTAACACCACTTTAGAGGTGTTAAAATAACACCCACTTAAGGACAGGTGGTGTTAAAATAACACCGGTTTCTGGTGCTAAATTCTTGGTGTTAAAATAACACCATAAGTGGTGCTACGAATTTGTATTCCCCAGTGTTAAATTAGCACTGTTTGTGGAGTGAGAACATGGGTGTTAAAATAACACCTTTTTGGTGGTGTTAAATTAGCACGCATCACGAGTGTTAAAATAGCACCTTTTTGGTGGTGTTAAATTAGCACGCAGCACGAGTGTTAAAATAGCACCTTTTGGTGGTGTTAAATACTGTTTGTGCAGTTAGAATAACATATATTCTTAAACTAAACACTTTTACAGTATAACACGGTCTATAAACACACGTTTTGAGCCTGGTCTTCCGTCACAGGCTAGGGCTGGCCGATTACAGGTATATCGCCAAATTAATTGGC